CTCTACGAAATATTCTCCTTAAATAAATAAACATTTAATTAAATTTTTTAAATTATTTTTTTTTATAAAAAAAAATTTTTTCACTTACTCATTGGGAAATAATAATAAAAAAAAAAATAATCATTTCGAAAGACAGGAATATTTATGGATATAAAAAAAAAAAAATCTGAAACGTAAGGGGAAACAAACATAAACTAGATGTTAAACAAGTTTGCATCTTGTATCGGATTCTGTTAAAGTTTAGCATTTTTCAATTCCGTCATCGGATTTGATTTTCGCAATTATTAGCGAAAAACAATGAATGCTACAAACCTATCAAACAATGCTTTTGAAGAAAGGGGCTAAGCCACGAATAGGTTTCAATTCATTTTTAACATCACAATAACATTGTGAACATCAATTTCCAGATTTAGGCATAACTAAATATGTGGCGCAAATATATGCGCATATTTTAAAGATTTTTTCACATAAAATATGCATGCACATATTCTGCAACTAATATGATTGGCTAATAAGGCCTTTTTTCATAAATTTTGTAAAATGGTCTGTTTTAGCATATCAATATTTTTTAATTTTTTTAATTAATTAATTATTTAACATTTATCAGATAAATGGAGCATTTACTATAGATTAAAGGAAATAATAGAAGAAGAAGAATTGGATTTAGACAATTATTGAAAAGAAAAAAAGTCTCATTTTATCAAAAATAGCATTGATTTATATTTGGCTACTAGTAGCTGGAGTAGATGTAAAGCACAGTTTTTCTAATTACAAAAATATTTTGATGAAAGAAGAATGTGTCTCTCTAAAAAGTCAATTTCAATGCTTAATTTTTTGTACTATAATCAAATTAAATAATTTTGCGAATAATTTTTATATTATTTTATATTGCCAAAAAAGTAAATTTCACATAATTTTTATAAGAATTATAAACACACATTATCACATATTTTATTTTTTTCACATACATATTTTGAGGTTCGTCACCACATATTTCTAGACACCCTAAAGCAAAACATTAATCGATTATTATGATCGATCATTTTAAATTGAACAAATACTTGGTACTTATTTGTTTATTTTTTGTATGACCAGGTACTAAAGCATGATTATGAGGAAGAGAATAATCCCGCCAGGTGCTATCATCAGTTTGGGTTCCGTTATCTGCAACGTATATAGTTGATATTTCTTTGAATGGTAATAATGTTGGACACTCCGGCCAACCTTGTGTTCGTCTCTGACGCATTAATCTTTTCTGATATTTAATAGCTTCATGTTTTAAAAATGACTCTACAATTGGATTAATTTTACTGGCCTCTTTCTCAGATAATGGGTTACGCTTTCGTGATGTGAGACGAATCCATACCTCATTTATTATGGAAGCCGGTAACTTGACTAGCAATTCAGAATATGCTTGGTTAAATGTCATTATATATTTATACATGGCGCAAAAAAATGGAATTCCATGAAATTTCAAAAAAAAAATAGACCACCAGGGTCAGCTTTATTATATATTACAAGGAATAAATTAGCCATTAAGGTACTATTCTAGGTGCTTTGCAAGGTAAAATTTACTCATCTATAATTTCATGAATTTTGCCAGTAGAATCTCGAAACTTGGCACTCATTTGTACATTTTCAAAATCTTCATCATGCCAGAAATGAATGACATTTAATCCCTTATCCTGAAGGGTTTTACAAGGCCAGTATGGATCGGATACAATAGAATCCTTCCTAGAGAAATGCACGATCCAAACTTCTTCAGGACAAAGCTGGTCGGCATATTTAAAAACTTGATCAAAATGTTTTTTTATTTTAGAGGCAGATCCACTGGCCAGGATTTCTATTACTGCTTCAGGATGAGGATTATTAGCTTTCTTTATCGTCAGGTCACAATAGAAATGATAATAGCCACCATCATCACAAACCTGTTCGAGGTGACACTGGCCAACAATTTCGAACTCATGTACTTCTGCAAGCCAATTTGCTAGGATTCTATACATCCCGGCATCATAGGTACTTTCCCGAGAAACTTTTACATTCTGCTTACAATCCACTAGCAAATGATTCGAACTTTTGTAGGAGCGTGAAGATCCGAAAGCAATTGTTTTTGGGTTAAATGTGCGAACTGTAGACTTCACCACCTCAAGAACATCTACTGATCCATTAGTATGCAAAGGTACATCCATATCTGGGCAAAAGCAACTAAGGTCAGGAATTATGCACTTCTTTGAAGGATGATCTGAAGTTAGATCTCGCTGCCTCTTCCCTAAAACAGATGACGATGATGACAACGATAATGATGGCAATACTGGTGTTGGTGGGGATGATATTTTCTTTTCTTTAATAGCTTTTTCCCATAAACTATTAACATTCTTGATATCAGCCTATATAAAGCAATAAGTGAGAAATAATATTTCCCAGTAAGCATATTCGAATAAAAATAACCATTAGCCACTAAGGTGCTTCACAAAATTGGTGGTAGATGCAGGAATATGCCAATAAATATTTTTTATTAATGTAAAGAAAGGTACATAACCAAAACCTCCTCCAGAATTAGCAGATCTTTACTAAAAAATTATAATGATACATTCCATGATGTTTACTAGGGCGTGGTAATAAACGCATTCATTTAATACTTGCAGGACTCCTACTAGGGCGTGGTAATAGGTGCAAGCATCCGGCTAAAGAGCCCACCAAGACAAATAAATATTCTAAATATGCTTACCTTACTGTTCTTTATAAGATTTTGAGCAATATCTCGAACGTCTTAGGATATGCTAAGATCGTTTTTGATATTATATAAGACTTTATAGAAGCTACGATGGGCTTCCTTCTTCTCAGCGAACTTATAGTTTTTAATCAGCATAGAGACATAGTAATGGAGAGACCAATTTTCATAGGAGCAAAGTTCGAAATATTTGATATATGGAATATTTATACATACGAACAAGTTTACTTGGATATCAAAGGCAGTATTAGATATAGCAGTCATATTGAAAAAGTTCGCAAAAATTTCAGTGTGGTATGCAGAGCGTCAAGCCGAAAGAAAAATATAGCTATTACTCAAACTCACCTTTCACCCCCCCATGCTACGTAGTGCAAGTGCGTCTAGCTTCATTGATGTTGATGAGTACTGGGCTTCTGTGCGAAAAAATGCAA